CACACACACACACACACACACACACACACACACACACACACACACACCCCTACTTATCTTGAGAGATCAATCACTGTTTTGGAGATGATATCATTAGTATATTGAAGATACCCAATATAAATGTCCACACTAGATTTCAATGAAGATTCTGATGAAGTTTTGATGTCAGGAAGTTTTGAGGGTTTTGATGAGACAAAAATAACTAAAATGGAGCCTGCAAGACAAAGCTATTATTTCCATATTGGGACTTTCAGTGTGATCCAGTGGTTTTTTTTTTTTTTTTGATGGGAGATCCTCCTACAGAATCAGATCTGTGGCTTGAGGACATTTTGTATAAATGGTTTTTGTTTGAAAAGTAGGTAGAGGCCATGATACGGGGTCCTTCTTCTGCTTCAGCTGGTGTACCAATTGGAACCTATACCTAGAGAAAAAAGACCTTGCTGCTGTGGCTTATGCTTTTACTACAACCTGTCTGGAGCATTCTAATATACTTAGGGCTATCCTTAAAAACTGTTTGGAAAGTGCAAATGATCCAGAATGCAGCGACTCACTAATAACTTTCTGGGTGCTGTCAGCTGGTGCTCCATTCAAAATCCAAGAAAGAAATACTTAGATTCCTTTAATCAGAGAAAAGATATCTTTTACTGGAAATCAAGTGGTAGCGACAAAAGAATTCTGAACCTGAAAAAATGGGCGCGTAAATCACATATACAAAGTAATGGCAACGTTCCCACCCCCAATAGTTCAATTGGTTCATCCAATTAAAAGTTGTGTATATCATCATGTGGGCATCTCCAGGTGGTGATGAGGCTTCTGTCCGTTGACCTTGACATAGTTTGATAAAGAGTTGCAGCTGCGCATAGCATAGAATAGAAACCTAAGCAAGAATGTACCCCACCCCACCCCAGTTTATACAGTTCTGGTTTGTAACACCTCCAGCTCACTTCCCATAACCATTCTACCCCTCCTCCCCCCATTACTTATGACAGCCGAAAGATGCAAAGCAAAGGGAGAAAATCTTGAAGGCTGACAGGTGCAGTTTAAAGTGCTGTTTTTCACTTATAAAGCCCTCTGTGGCTTTGATTCAGGTTAAGTTCAAGACAACATTCCCCAGGTAAAATTGCCTGATCTAAGTAGTCTTTTTGGGAGAAACCGCTTGTAGTTCCCAACTTTTTAGGGGTGAAGGGAACTGAAACCAAAATAAATTTTTCTCTTGTATTAAATAATTACATAAATGCATCCCTCATTTATAGCTATCAGATGGTTTCGTTATGCCCATCTTCTGCAGGATCAGTTTCTAAGAGTGTTGAGAGCAGAGTTCTTTGAAGTAGAAACAAGTGACTGATGTAAAAGAATATATGTAGCTTAGGGTTGATCAATCAAGAAGGAAACGCGTCCAATCAAGAAACCATCAATTCAGACAAACTTAGCTAACAGTAAACAACAGCCTAATCAAGAAATCACCAAGACTACCCTACCAACACTGACAAGACAACCACTAATAAAAATAAAGGGAGTAAACCTCACTTTAATCTAGCACTAATGATGTTAATTAGTTTGGTAATGAAACATCTGTAAGTAAAAAACCAAGCTCAGAGAGCACCGAGGACTCCACAGGCAAATCAGCTTGCACAATTTTAGGTTTTATGCCAAGTTCCAATGAAGTGGATGTACTCACATATTGCTTGAGGTTTGCATATATTTTATGTTTAAGTAATCTCTATTTTTAATATGGACTTTTTATATATTTAAATGCTTGTTTTATATATGTATTGTTTCTTATTTGATTATTTTATACCATCCAGAGTCATTTCTTATGAGATAAGAAATAAATAAATAAATAAGATTATCTTGTTATAATCAACATAATCTGAAAATACCACTTCAAACTCCTAAAGCTTTCAGTCTATTTGATTTCCTAGTTGCTAGTGCTGAAACATGCTTCTGTGTCTTAATCATGTTAATTGCCTGAATGAGATTGAAATCTATACACACACACACACACACACACACACACACACACACACACGTGGGATTCTACCAGTTCGCACCTATTCGCTAGAACTGGTTGTTAACATTCTAAGCAGTTCGGAGAACTGGTTGTTAGAAGAAATTATTGGTCTAATCCTGTAAGGAAGGCAGGAAGGAAACATTCTGGTGTTGCTTACAGAAACTGCCTCTCCGTTAACCCTTATTACATTCTTGGCAGGACTAGACTTCCTGTCTCAGGAACTTCTCTGGAGTTTTTTCCCCCTCCTTTGCTGGTACTTTGCTTGTGTGGAGTGACCATTCAAAGTTACAATGGCACTGAAAAAAGTGACTTATGACCATTTTTCACATTTACGACTGTTGCAGCATCCCCATAGTCATGAGAAGCCAGGCAAGAAGATGCATGCTTCAATGTGATGATATTGAGTTGGTCACACCCAGCCAATAACATGACCACCAAACCACATTCACCTAGTCACATGACCACCAAGCCACGCCCACCAACTAAGCCATGCCCACAGAACCGGTTGTTAAAATTTGAATCCCACCCCATATATATTTCTTTATATCTAAAATTATTTTCCCCTTTTGTCTTTTAGGTATGGGAAAGTTGTATCTACAAAAGCAATCCTAGACAAAAACACAAATCAATGCAAAGGTAAGTGAAAAAGTCCTTCCCGAAAATTCTACATCATTGTTTGATTGACTGGTTTGATTGACTGGTTTGTGAGCCAAAGTTCAGGCTGTGACACTGCAATCAACATAATATACAGTATATTGAAAGCATGTTAATAATGCCAGTTCTTGGAGCTGTACTTCCAGTAACATTGCTCATTAATGTTTTTCATTAACAAACAAAATGAATATCACAAATCAGAACAACTATCAAACTGCTTCGGCAGCCAAGTAAATTACCTTCTAACTACACAGTGTCATCTGATTTGAACAATATGACTGATAATATAAATTGATTTCCTACATATAAATATAAAACTCTTTGTGAGAAATGCCTTATTCTATGTTTTATATGTAGATGTCTTTTGCTCCAGTCTTTAGAGAGGAAAACTTTATTTTTGTTAAATAATTTTTATTAGACATTTTCCAACAGTTTAAAAGCATATTTACATTTCCAATAACATTATAGCATCGTCATCATTCATGTTCATCTATCAGTTGCTATATTACTTTTATATCTATTGTCTAGCCAAAGATACCAAGCATCCCAGACTAGATAGTACTCAGTACTTCATTTTTATCTTTTTACTCAAGGGTCAGCCTGTCCATCTCTGCGCAGTCTAGGATCTTTATCACTGTCCCTTCAGTTGGTATAGTCTCTTGTTTCCAGGACTGTGCATATACAATCCTGGCCACTGTTATTATATGTAAAATAATATATACATCTGTTTTAGCATGACTTTCCCTTAATATTTCTAATAAGAACAGTTCTGGTCTGAATTCGATCCCTTCCCCGGTTATTTCCTCTACCAACTTATGAATTCTATCCAATATTTTTTTGCTTCTAAGCATGTCCACCACATGTGGAAGAAGGTGCCTGTTTATTTTGACATTTCCAACAGTTTGGGCTTCTATTTGGGAACACCTTTGCCAATCTGGCAGAGGGTAGGTACCATCTATAGAACATTTTGTATATGTTTCTCTGTAAGCTGCTGATAGAGTTAGTTTATAATTTTGCCCCCCAATTTTTTCCCCAATATTCTAATTCAATGTTATATCCCAGATTTTTGGCCCAAACTATCATTGTTTTTTTACAATTTCTTCTTCCATTTTGAAATTCAAAAGAAAATATTTTGGATAGCATTTTCTCTTCTGTTCCCTGAATTATTTTCTCTAATTGTTGTTGATCTTTTTAGAATCCATATTCTTTATCTTTTTTATATCTTACTTGAATTTGCATGTAGGGCCACCAATCGATTTCTATACTTTGTTGTTTGAGTTCTTGTGCTGTTCTCAATCTCCCTTGTGTATCCATCAAGTCCTTATATTTTCTCATTTTATTTAAGTCCAATGCGTTGAGGTATATTGTCGCTTCCATTGTTGACAGCGAATTAGGTATTCTGGAGTAATGTTTTTTCCCCCATAACTGGAATAATGCATCTCTAATCTGGTGTCTTTGGAAATAGGAGTGATTTTTGTTTTTCCCTTCCCATAGGAATCCATGCCACCCTCGCTGTAAATCGTGTCCCTCTATTAATAATATTCTTTTATTTTCTAAATTGATCCACTTCTTTATCCATGTTATAGCCCCGTGATGGTGAACCTATGGCACGTGTGCCAGAAGTGGCATGCAGAGCCACTTCTACTGTCACGTGAGAGGTCACCTAGAAGAGCCCCACTGCATGCGCACCGGCCACGTGCCCACCAGCTGATTCTCGAGTATCTGGTGCACATGCGTGGGGTACAGGGGTGCGTGAAAGACATGCGCAGGGGGTCTCATGTGCATGCGCAGAGACACATGCAGCATATGTGGGGGGATTGCATGCACATGCGCAGAGATGCATGGTGCGTGTGGGGGATTGTGCATACATGCACAGAGATGTGTATCACGTTGCGGGGGGGTCGCACGTGCCTGCGCAGGGGCGTGGGGAGTGCATTGCTTTTTGAGTGCATGCAAGCGCAGTTTTCAGCACGGGAGCCCAAAAAGGTTAGCCACCACTGTTATAGCCACTGCATGGTAGTATAATTCCCAGTCCGGAAGTCCAAAACCACCTCTGCTTCTTTTATCCTGCATTAATTCCATTTTAATTCTGGGTTTTTTCCTTGCCCAAATAAATTTAATTGTTGCTTTGTTTAGTTCCTCAAAAAAGGATTTACCTAATTTTTTATTGGAACAGTTTGAAAGAGATAAAAATTTCAGTAATATAGACATTTTAATTGCACAATTCTTCCATTAATGAAATGTGCAGTTTTCCCCATATTTCCAAATCTTTTTTTATTTGTGCCATTAATTTGTTGTAATTATTTTCCTTTATTGAGGAACATCTTGCTGTCAATCAAATACTAAGATATTTTACTTTTTTGACTATTTGTATTTCCAATTTTTCTTTTAAATCTTTTTTCTAAATCTCAGTGAGGTTTTTTACTATATCTTTGTCTTCTTTTTATTTATTTTAAATACTGCTACTTTGCCAAATTCTTCAATTTCTCATAGCAGAATCCAGGTTCCCCAGGTTCTTCTATAAACAGTACCACATTGTCTGCAAATGCTTGCATTTTATATTCCAGAGAGGAAAATTTTAAATTTGGAGCTGTTGGAACTTCAAAATTGGGACATTATGTTGTGAAAATATACTATTGTGTTTTTTACTCTGCATTTATTATAAGACAAAGATTTTCCTCTTTTTTATCTTCAGAATAATATTGCAATAGTAGGACATCAGTTGTGCTTATTTAATTTCTTACAAACTTTTAAAAATAACCATATATAAAAGATCCTGTAGATGAATCAGATTTGCACTAGTTTTCTATAAGCTGATCTCTGCTGGGTATTGTGTGTGCATGTATGTGTGCGTACGTGTGCAGCTGATGTCCAATATTAATCTTTCTGAAATAGATTTTGCTTACCTGATTTCTTCCCAATCACCTTTGGTCTGCTTCATCATCCTCAAATACCTTGGCCATTTGCCATGTTGGTCAGAGATTATTGGAATTGTTATCCAGCATTTGAAGATACCAAGTTGGGAAAATTCTTCTAAATAGATTGGAAAAGTATATTTTAAAGGAAGATGATAATTCCACTCCATCTTGTTTTGAGATGTTGTTTTGAGAACAACAGTTGAGAAAAATTGCATCTATAATGTTTTAGATAAATAGTAACAGACTTACTTAATGGCAGAATACATATTTTAAGTAGGGTGATAATGAAAAAAATATTCATATTCTGCTCTTCCATCACATTTTTTCTGAATGAAATATTTATGCTGCCCCGTTGTTGCTGTTTTACAGTATCTGGGTTTTTTAAAATCAAACTGTGATTAAAATATGTCAGTTGACAATGGCTATAATTTTAATATCGAAGCCTAGAGTGCCATGTAAGGTAATCCTTGATTTACAACAATTTGTTTATTGATAGTTCAAAGTTATAAAGGCTTTAGGAAAAGTGATTTATGAGCCCTCCTGACCGTGCACCACCTTTGTCATTTTGTGATCACAATTTGGGCACTTGGCAACTGACTCACAGTTATAACTACTGCAGTATTTTACAATCATGTAATCATGACTGTAGTCAGCTTCTGACAAGCGAAGTTAATTGGGAAAGTTGGATTTGCTTAACATCCATGTGATTAACTTACTGACTACATGATTCACTTATCAATTATTATGATTCACTTAACAACCATAGTAAAATGATTGTAAAATTGAGCTTGGTCATGTGATGACTCAGTTAATGAATGCATTGCTTAGTGACCAAAATTCCAATCCAAATTGTGGGCATAAGCTGAAGACTACCTGTATTAATGGATGTTTTTCGACCTACAGCATTATAGGAAAAAAGGTTTCCAGCTTCTGAATTATGGTATTCCCAAGATGTTATAGGAAGCACAGTGGCCTTAACTTAAAATGGATCTGAACTTCCTCTCTTTCTGATCTAAATAAGGCTTAATTTTATTATGAAGCTGTTTTTAATGAACTCAATAATAAAAGGTTAGCTTAGGACTAATGACAACTAAATTTTTGCTGAAATATCATTTAGAAAGTTCTCTTTTTTAAATGACTACACAATATGCTCTTAAATGTGTAGATTAATTTTAAAGTTTATGAAGTTTATGTGGGTAAAATGAAGGATTATGCCGTAAGTGAAATATTTGAAAGAATATATAGATGATGATATGCTGAACTCTGCCCATCTTTCCTCTACAGCTCCATTCCTTTTTCAATGTATTTAACTGGATGCTGATTAAATAGGTAGACCATTGAAGGGTAGACAGATACAGAGAAAATATTGAGTGAGAGACATAACTGATTAAATTTGCAAAATCCTTTTTCTTTACATTTTAGTATTAATGGAGTGAGACTCCCATTTGAATATATAATCTGCCATCATGATTCTGTACAGAATACTACTGTATATCTGTCCAACAAATCTATCTATATTTTTAGTTGCTTAAAGGTCTTTACATTGACTTGCTATTTTTTATAAAATTAATATGCAAAGACAATTTTTAAGAAATCAGGATTTGATAGCATTGTCATTTCTGATTTGTCTCATTAGGGTGCCTACTTTCATTCTTTTCCCACTGGAAATCCTAATAAATTACTTCAGTAATCATGATGATCATGTAATGAGGATGTGATCTGCTTTTATGCCATTAGTTGGCATAATGTTATCTGAGGATTTTAATACCAAAGAGCAAATAGCCAGATTACATATGCAAATATACAATTTCCTAGTAACTTTAAAATGTCAGTTTTATCAAGGTTATTGCATTTTGACTAAAGTAATATTTAGTTTGCATTCTACTGTAAGTAGCACAGTATCTAAAAGACCAATTTTTATATGAGCCTGCTTAACTCTACAGGACTTTATCAGAAGCATTTTGACAAGTGCATTTAGGTCTGGATAAAACCTTTCCTTAGCTTTCACATATTCTCTGTTGAGATCTATCCATAGGTAACTTAAGTTTAGAGGAGCACTTGAAA